GTAGATAAATATTTCCTAAACCTACTTAATTTAATTTTTAGGTACCTCGTTAATCCAGTAATACTAAATGTGGATATTATATCCTTCATTTTAAGTAGGAGATAGTGTTATATGATTTTATGATCACATCATTCAAGGTTAGTATAAAATTTCATAATTCGTTATATCTTTAAAAAATAAAAAGGTACATTATGTTCTAATTTCTTAGCATTTACTTCTGATATTTTGTTTTAGTGGGAGAGTAAAGAAAGTTTTATGAAAGAAGAACTGGATAAAGTCAATAAAGAATTGTGTGATTATGTGATTATCGTTTATCAATGTTGATAAACCTTCAGGTTAGACATTGTTGGTTGAATGTAAATATATAAGGAACAAATTGTTATAATGTTTTGAACATGCCATGTTGATGGAAACTTTAAGTTTGTACATTGGGTTATTCGTTTAATATTATTGTTATACTTAATATGAATGCACTATGTGTACTTAATAAATTATTGAGTATGATAATTTAACAAAGTATATTAATATGGCAACGTTATCAGTTTTAATTTGGATGTGTGGTCAATTTATTGAAATACAACAATGTTTATTATGTAAATTCTAAAATGTAATTCGTAGTATCACATATATAAACCAAATGTTTTCTAGGCATTAATATGCAACTGACAGCAAACGTTTACTGAGCATAAACCTACAACTGATTTGACATATACAATATCAAATATGTTTTTTTGATGAGATTATTGAAAGTATTTTTAGTAAGAAAACGCATTAAATCATCCCTAACAGAAAATTTTTAAGGCATTTTTAACCAAAATTACCTTAATAATCATCCTAAAAATTTATTGTGTGGAATATTAAAGGCGATTTAGGTAAAAAAATACCTTCAAGAATCCGTTGCATCTTTTTTGTGTGGATTATTAAAGGCATTTTAAAAAAATACCTTCAATAATACTAATTAAAAATTAATTGAATAGATTATGAAATGCATTTTCCTACGGGTAATGCCTTGAAATGCCTTGAATAACCCTAACAAAATGTTATTAAAGGCGTTTCTAGATATAACCGCCTTTAATAATCCGACCATTAAAATTTATTATCTAGAATATTAAAGGCATCTTTTTACCAAAATCGCCTTCAATACTCCCCCCAACAATTTATTGTGTGGAATATTAAAGGTATTTTGGACAAAAAATACCTTTAAGAATCTATCTCATCTTTTTTGTATAAATTATTGAAGGCATTTTAAAAAATACCTTCAATAATACCAATTAAAAATTAATCGAATGGATTATGAATGACGTTTTTCTACAGGTAATGCCTTGAATAATTTCTAATAAAATATTATTGAAAGAGTTTTTAGATATAGCCGTCTTCAATAATCCGATCATTAAAATTTATCATCTGGAATATTAAAGGCATTTTGAGCCAAAAATGCCTTCAAGCATCCATTCAAACTTTTTCCTATGGATTATTGATGTTGTTTTTTACAAAAATTGCCTTTAATAATCACAACAAAAATTTATTGATTGCAGTATATAAGGTGAGTTAGGCCAAAAATACCTTTAAGAATTAGCTTCATATTTTTTCTATGTATTATTAAGGGCGTTTCTCTACGAAAAATGCCTTCAATATTCTCTGTAAAATTTTTTAAAGCAATTGGCAAAGGAGTTTTTGCCAAGAAAATGCCTACAATAATCAATTACAAATAATCTCTGTAAAAATCCAAAAAAAGCTAAAATGAGGGATCAAACCTATAACCTTATAGTTAACATCTGTACAATCTAAACATTTTGATATGATATTTATTGAAGGCTTTTTTGAAAAAAAATGACTTCAATAAACTTGTGAAATTTTTTGGTCCAATTATTAAAAGCGTTTCTTGTAGAAAATGCCTTCAATAATCTCATACAATTTTTTATTAGGTGATTATTGAAGGCATTGTCTGTCAAAAATATGCCTTTAGTATTCGTTGAAATTTTAAAGATAGAATTATTCAAGGTGTTTTAGTCAAGAAACGTTGATATCAAGTTTTAGGTGGCGTTTATAAGTAACAATGTCACTATTTGAATATTTAGTGATGTTTTAATAATAAACGCTTTAAGTTTTATAAAAACACGAAAGCTAGAGGCATTTGTAAGTGAAAGGCCACTATAAAACTGTCGCTAATACGTCATTTTCTTGTAGTGTACGTATATATATATGTATGTTTCTAAATGAATGAAAGTTTTATTTCTTTATTTTTGATATATGAAAATAGGATCAAACATGTGATTATTTACATTTTGCTATATAAATTATGGATCATGCTTATTAATGAAATAAGAAATTGATTTATATTTAAAAAATAATTTTATGATAGCTACAAATGAATCCTTGGGAAGTGGGTTCATCAACACTAAAATTAGTTCTATGGCCCTAGCTAATAGGTTAAAGAGTTAGCATAAGGTTATGTTATAATAATTAGCAATGATCATGAAAATAAAATTATTGATATGATTATTGTCACGGGTTATAATAGTGACTATAACTAATGATGAATTAATAATAATGATAATTGATGATGATGAATTTACAATTTTGAAAATTGATCCATGATTTATATGAAATATGTATTTGACCATGATTTATTATTTATAATTGATGAAGTGATATGTTTTGATATGGTATCAATCCTTTGAATGCTTACTTAAATGTTTTGGAAGTCTAATTTGAATGATGATTCTGAATGAGCTATTTGTATATATGAAAATGATACTTAATTCGATAAGGTGTGTGAGCTTATACTTACTAAGCTGTGATTTTCTCATTCCTTTCTTTAGTTTCTTTTTACAGATGATTAAAATGCTAAGTTAATTTAGTTTGTGAGAAGTTAGAAGATCAAATTGAAAAGATTACTTAAGCATTGGAGACATTGTTCGCATGGGAGATCTTATAAAGCGGTTTTGTATTTTTTTTTAGTTTATATTTATGTATATGAAGATTTATCATTAGTTGAATTAAAGTTATCAATTTTACTTGAACATATTATCTTATTAAAGAATTTTAGAGTGATTAAGAAAGAAAGTTTCGTATTATTTTAGGGTTCTTGACTTCAAGGTAATACGACCATATTACTTCTCGGTATCAAGGCGTGGCAAAAAGTGATCTCAGAGATTAAGTTGTGATCTTTGAAGAATTTTTAATATTTAGATTATGATATTTAATGATGGAAATTTTTTTTAAAAATTAAGCTATTATCTTTGAATAGATGAAACTCAAGTTATGATTTTGAGGGATTTTTCTTAGAAGATTTGAGTACGATCTTTGAATCAATGGGGATTTTCTAGGAGTATAATATATGATCTTTAAACTATATGTAAAATATTTAAGAACTTATATTATGATTAAAATTTTTCTACGAGCTTAGGTTATGATCATTCGAGAATTACTAAGGAGTTTATTTATGATAATTAAATTAATGGTGATTTTTTAAGAAAGAAAATTATAAAAAATTTTAAGAACTCAGACGGTGATTTTTGGATTATATGATGAATTTCTAAGAGTTCAAGTTGAATTCATAGCTATAGTGATAAATATAAGGAAATGATTCGATAAATTTTGGAGTCATTAAAGTTTTAATGAATTTTGAAGAATCAAAGATTTAATGAATTCTTGATGTAATTATTTTGGTTGATATTTATATATTACTTTTGGATCTTGTAGTTAAGTGAAAGTCTAATTACTTTAATATAGTGTAATGTTATAAGTTAGAGAAATTTTAGGTGCGACTTCTAATGAGACATTTTATGAGCTAAAGGATTATTCAAAATAACGATTTGACCATTGGAGATCTTATGGGTTTGAGAAAAGATCTTTTATTTAACTAGGTTTTGAAGTTATTTGATGACTGTTATGTAAATCCTTAATCATGGATTAAGAATGGAATATAAGTGTGCATTATTGAAAGTAAAAGTAGAAAATATTGGAGTTGGAATTGAATGATATTTTAAAATTTTGAAGTAATTAATTCTCGGTTACTATGCTAGAGAATGTCTTGATGACTTTAGTTGAGAATATTATAGTTGTGGTAAATAGCTTTATATGCGTAAAGGAGGATGTTCGTTTGATGTGGTATATTCTATATTTTATTAAGGAGTATTTAAAGTTGTTACATGAGTTGGAAGTTTGCATAATTGATTTGAAGTTTGATTATTATATTTTTATTTAGAATGTAATGAATTTTCTTAATGGTTAATTTGATTAATTTGTGATTATTGTTTCTAATTGAAGTACAATATTAGGTTCTTTAGAAAAATATATTACTGCAAAATTTTGATTATGATCGTAAAAGTCATATGCTATAGTATATGTTATGACCTTGTGGATAAGAGTTAAAATTGTGGTTAGATAAAGAATTTGGCAAAAAAAAAAACAAATAAGTTTATTTTGAAAGAGTAATTGTTTTAGAATATTGTTAAGAAAGATTTTAAATATCTTACAAGTACACAAAATGGTTCAAATTTTGATTAGATCTTAAGAATTAGTAATGATTTTTGTGTATTTAGTGTCATAACGATTTTGGAAACCACTAGATGAAAATTTTAAAAAGTTAAGAAAAACAAAGTGAGTCATCATCGATCTTTTTTTATTTTTTTTGTTTTTTTGAATATGATTTTTGAAAGGTTGATAATTTTTTGAAAATAAATTTAGAAGTTCTTTTAAGAAAAGGTTAAACAACTTTTGAAAACAAATTTAAAAACTCATTTAAGCAAAGGCTCAATGAATTTTGAAAATAAATTAAAAGCTTCTTGAAGCAAAAGCTCAATGACTTTTGAAAACAAATTTAAAAGCTTCTTTAAGACTTAACAACTTTTAAAACCAATTTAAAAACTCCTTTAAACAAGGGATCAATAATTTTTTAAAATAAATTTAGAATCCTAGTCCATTGTAGCCCTTCTTATGGCAATAACTGCATGTTCTTACCCTTTCAATCCTGGAAAGTCCACTTTTGATCTTACCTTCAAGTGGTTCATGCTTCATTTTCTTGGTTGGCCTACTAGGCATCATTTTTACCATATAAGCTAACAGTGGTCCTTCATTACTTTTAGGCTAAAACATTCTTCCTTTCACTAGGTTGAGAGTGTTTTATAAGCAGAGAGGTAGGCTTCTTTCTTGAAACATGATGACAAATAATCCACAAGGTTTGATCTATCATACACAATAGCACTTACAGCATCCTAACAAGGGACTCCATTGATGTCTCATTTCCTACATGGTATGTGTTAGCCTTCATTGATCTTTATTTTGAAATAATAAAATATTAAGCTAAATAAGTTTGATTATAATTTTACAAAAAAATTATTTAGTATAATGTTCTTAAGTTTATTATTTTTGTACTAAAATATATAATATGTTTATGAAAAGGATATTTGATTTGCTAAAGTTTGGACAAATGTTTTAAACATAAAAAGAAAAGTTTTGCCAACTATTTTTGAAGTGGAAAATGTCTTAAGATAAAAAAGTAACTTTTTTTCTTATTTGAAAACATTTTTATGCAAAGTTGAAAATAAAGGATTGATCATCTGGTTGATAGGATTGATCCTCTGGCAAAATGGATCAATCCCTTGAGTTATAGGATTGATTGATTTTTTAAGCAGAAAGCTTCCAAGTTTAATTTTTTACAAAATGGATTGATTTCCAATGATAAAAGATCAATCAGGTCTAAAGTTTAGTAAAATTGATTGATCCCTTAAGAGAATGGATCGATCGATTTTTTTTTTGTCCAGAAAGCAACGAGATTACAGAACAGCCAAAAGGGATTGATTCCTTATAAGAAAGGATCAAATAGGTAGCATATAGGATCGATCAGGTCCAAAACAAGATCAGTTGATTCTTGCTATTTCAAGTTCAAATAGCTAGTTTTTCAAATATTCAATAGGTATTTTCTTATCCAATCAATCCCCAATGGCTTTAAACTCATTTTCTTTATAAATTGGGTATTCCAATACACCATTAATGAAGAAAGCACTAATAGGCTTTATTTCCATTCTCTTAAGCATTTAAGAGTTTTTAGAGCTTAATATCCTTTGTATTTCTTGTATCTAAACTATTTCTTATTGTTCATTCATCATACTTTTTATTTCATTAGAAACACGTAATATTTGAGAGGTGTTTTTGGTTTACAAAACATTAGAGCTAAATTGTAATCAAGAGGTGAGGCATACTCTTGGAAGGTTTTGAGAGTTTTATAGAAACTCATTTTGTGAGATTAGAAGTTGCTACTTTAGCCTAGAAATGTGAGAGATTAGAGTTTGCTATCTTAGCCTAAAAAGATAGTGAGTGAGAGGTTGTTATCTTTAGCTTAGAAAACAAAGTGATTGTATTGCATTTCAATTAGTGGATTGAACTCCTTGACAAATGAGGTTAAGGGAAATGATATAGGTGTATTTGAAAAAGGATCGAACCTTTATAAATTCTTGAGTTTGATTAATTTCATTATTGCTTATATTTGTGTTAAGATCATTAATTGTTGTTAATTACCTCATATTTTCACTAAAGAGCATATTGTTTTTAATTTCTCATTCAAATATTTTGAAATATATTTTTGGAAAAAAATTTGAAAAAAATTTAATTCACCCATTTTTTGGATTGCTATCTACATTTGAGCTAACAATAATTCTTAAACCTCATGTTTCCTTCAAAAAAAAGCCAAATGACCACTTGAACAACTTTGTTTTGTCATTTGAAATTTGTTGGAATAGTTCAAGATGGTTAAAAATGAGATTAACTAGTTTTGAGATTTATCAAGTTCTTTTTCAAGCAAATATGATGAGTTTTAATCTTGAAAATATTGAGCTTTGGTTGGTTCATCCTATTTTGTTTGGCATAAAAAATTTTGCTTAAATGAATTTGGTGCTACATATATGATTTTTCTGACCTTAATGCATTTTGTATGGCATATATTGATGTTTGAATAGTATGGAATAAATATACTTTGTGATTGTTCTTAATTGTTAATTTAAGATTTATTTCTTCTCTTATATTTGTGAATTGATGAACTTCTTAAGCTTAAAAGAAATATATTAATTCTTAGTTCATCTATAGTCTTAGTTAAGATATATCCTTGTATGATAATTGATTCAACTTAACCTTAATGCTTATGATTTGAAATACTAAATTATTTATGTCTTGATTTTGCAAAACATTTTTGACATATGCTTATTTTTGTGCACAATCGATATACTTTTTGGCTTGAGATTTTGAGTTGTATAATGAGCTAATTGATCTTAAATGCAAATATTGTTGGTTCATCTATAGTTCTTATCAAGTGTATGTTTATATGATAAATATTATTTAGCTTGACTTGACATACTTGCAACATGATTTAAGTAAGTTTCTTGTAATGCTTTATTTTTATCTTAAGTCATTATTGATTGTAGCTTATAATTTGTGTAGACATATTTATTCTTTTGTGTTAAAATTTTCTTAAATCTATATTTGGATGATAAATATGTCTTTTTTAAACTTTTAATTTTTATATGGGCTAAAATTGGTTTTAACATATTCTTTTGTGACTTCTTGTATACATTTGAATATTGAATATATCTTCTTTGTGTTCATAAGTGACGTAAAAGGATTGATGATTGCACATTATAGGAGAACTTTAGCTTAGTGCCAATATTATGAAATTTTGATGTTTAATGTGATATATGGCCTATAACTTAAGCTAATGATATTGTTTTAATAAAATATATCTCCTTTGCAGTTAGTAACTTGTGCTAAATGAATAAATTTTTTGTTTGCCTATAACTTGAAATATGAAATTCATTTTATAACAATTGGTATAATTTTTATCAATTTGTATTCTTAATGCAAGTAATGAATATTTCTTTGTCAAAAATTTTCTAAGTCTATACTAGGGAAACTTGAAAAGTGAATGAATATGTCCATATTTTAAAATTTCAAGTATAGCAAACAAAATAGTCATCTTTATCAATCAAGCTCAAGTACCAAAAGACTTGTTCAAATGATGTAGAATAGAGGATTCAAAGCCTCACTCAACTTAAATGAGCACAACAACAAAGCTTGAAAATGATGGAGGTAAATGTTAATAATTCAAATGCTTTGACTGTATGAACACATTGCACAGGAAAGATTGTGTGCAAATATATGATTTTGTGGTTTAATATATGAACAGATTACACAAATCAGTCATCAAGCCACTTGGTAAAGATTTTTTTAATATTATTGAAAGCTTGGATTGATTAATTCACCTTCAATGATATTCATGCTGAGTTTTTTATTGTTTTGGAAATTATAGTTTTAATGCATGAATATTTTTCTAAGATGAATCTTTGAACTTGGCTATGAGTTGAATATATTAATTTCTTAAATTTTAATTGTTTTGACTCATAGATTATGAACTTATAATTTAAAATATTATACATGTTCATTGATTGAGAATATTGAAATAGCATATACCAAATTATGCCTAAATGTTTGCATATCTTTTTGAATTGGGTATATTACTGTATATATAATTTGAAATGTTTTTGCTTATACTTGTATGATTTTGATTGAAATATATGTTTAAATACTTATATATATTTGAATTAAATAATATTAGCTCAAAGATTTGGAACAAACCAAGAGGGAATGAATTGGTTCTTATGAAATTTTCAAAAACAGTATTCAATAAGCACAAATTTTGCTAAACAATTAAACACAATAATAGAAAGTAAATAAGATATAGGGTTAAAAAATTTAACACCGAGATTTATAGAGGTTCGGTCCTTCCTTAGGCACCTACGTCCTCTCACTTAGTCTCTCTTGGCAAGAAGTTTAATGTACTATATGATGAAGATTACAATCAAGCTTCTCAAAGCTTTATAAGAACTTAACTCAACACACTTTTAAGGGTTATTTTCCCCCTTAAGCTTATAAACTCAAAATACATAATTTTTAAGTGTTTTGCAAACTCTAAGAACCTCTCAAAGGTTAGGTATTTGCTAATTTGAAGTACACAATAGTATGGACAAGAAAATAGAGAAAAATTGATATGAATTTTGTACTTTTCTAACTTCAAACAGCTTTGAATGCTAGAGCAGATTGGTAGGTGAATAGCAATAAGTTTTTTTGGCTCTTGTTACTCTTAATATGTAGTGGAATGCTTGATTTATAGGTAATAAGAAGTTAAGAGCCGTTGGATAGCATTTAATGCTTCAAACTTGCAAAAATTTCAGATAAAAAATAACCGTTGAGAGTTTTTGGCCTTCAGGGGATCGATCCCCTCCCTTAGAGGATCGATTGGTTCATGTTGGAGGAAGCACGATTTTTTGCTTGAAAAACTATACCTGATCGATCCCTTCATCCAATGGATCGATTGGTTTTTTAGGTGATCGATCCCCTATATAAGGGGATCGATACCTTTTCTAGATTTTCAGATTTATGGAGCATTTTGTTTTAGCAAACTATCAATCTTTTGAAGAGAGGATCGATCCCTTTTTTGAAAAATTGCACGATGAAATTTTTTGTATGAAAAAGTGATCGATCCCTTGAATGAGGGGATCGATCTGGTCATTTTGAAACCCCAATCAATCGATCCCTATAGGGAGATGATCGATTGGTTTTTGCCAACACATGAAGAATTTTCGGTTCTAGAAGAAAACAAGATCGATCCCTTTTGCTAGGGATCGATCTGGTAAGGAGGGGATCGATCCATTCTATCAAAACTTGCACTTTTCAAGTTTTGTTTTGAAAATTTGACTTGTTTTAGTTCTCAAATGGATTTTGGCAAGATAGAAAGGTGAAAAAATGTTTAATTTAAGCTTAAAAAAGATTGATTCACATTAGGCAAATTTTTTTTTGTCAAATCAAAACTCTTGATCAATTCAAGGCCAACAATCTTCCTCTTTTTGATATGACAAAACCAAATGAAAAATTTACATAAAAAACATTTTTTCTTTTGAAAAACAAGCTCCTTCTGAAGTTATGAAAAGCAAACTCCCCTTGAATAATAATAAAACTCTCCCTGAATTTAAGCATAAGTTTTAAGGCAACTAAGCAAA